TGTGTGTGTATATATATATATACACACATACATAATATTATATGCCATATTATTTATATATATATATACATACATACATACATATATATATATATATATATATATATATACACATACATAATACGTTGATAATACTAGATAACATAAATGTACGTTAAATTCAAGTATGTTATCTTAGAAAAGTGACTTTTTACCTTGCTGTATAAACAAATAAAGAGAGAAACATGGATATTTGTAATAAAAGTTTTCTGACATTGTGAACAATGAATGATGTAATTCTACATTTAGCATACTACAATTTTGTTTTTCAACATTTTTCACATTATAAAATTATGTTCTTTTAAATATATAAAGCGTGAAACGTAAAATTGTAGTATGTTACGTTTGTCTTTTATTTCAACACACTTCAAACACATCACACAAGTTACTTCAGAGTTTGCTAATCATTGATATTCCAACGAGAGCAATAGTGATCGGATGATTTTATATATTATTCGCATAAGTTATAAAATTGTGCGCATTCATATCTTTATTTGAAATGTGATAATTCATAGTCTATAGAGAAAAGACGCGTCTCTACATAATTATATATAAATATATACAACATATATAAACGGACGTGTGATGTTTAAGGTGCCTTTTTCTTTTGAGAGCTGTGTTGAACAGTGCACTCTTTGCGCTAAATATAAACATGATTGTCGCAGTACTGTTTGTACCATTAAGACTAATTTACACATACGAATTACGTACCCATATTTACCGTTATTATGTAATTTTATATACGTTTTACATGTTTTGTTTGAGCCGATGATCCCGTTACTGGCACATTTACGCGCGTCCGAACTATTAACTGCATCATTGTAATATTACAGGACGTCGCATTACGCGATTTTCCACAAAGATAGTAATCTTTACACTTATCCCTCGCGTACCGAAAGCTATTTTATAATGTATAGGTAAATGAAAAAATACAGCTGTAATTGAAAGTATGATTTGACAATTCATTTTTTTTTATTTCGCACGACTCACAGGTACAAACTGTGTTCCGTTACTCACGAGTACTGAAAATCTATAGTTTACGTTACGTATACTATAGATTTTCATTACTCGCAGTGAATCGTGGAACGCAGCCACAAACGTCGCACGTAATAGTTTCCCTGGAAAAAAAAGAAATGCGTGAAGTGATTGTCAGCTATTAAAACTTACCTGTCATTGTCACATTTTAGAACAGATGTTTTCTCGATCGTGATCTGAAAATAATCAATAAT